GGAGTCTCACTCTTGCTCAAGCTGGTCTCGAACTCCTGAGCTCAAGCGATCTTCCTGCCTCAGCCTCCCAGAGTGCTAGGATTACAGGCGTGAGCCACCACGCCCGGCCTCATTGTACTTTTTGATCACTATGGTTCAAGACACAAGTAGAAAACCGAAGCTGTGCAAAGTTAAGGCAAGCCAAAAATAAAAGAAATGACTGGGGCAATATGGCTCTCTCGGAGGGGCGTTGTTTAAGCTGGCAAAGTGAAGAGCGGCTGTCTTCCAAGGATGAAAGGTTTACTTGAGGCTATGCTGGTTTGGCTGGGCTGCATCTCCAGCACCTAGGCAAGGTAGCTGAGACTCATTAAAGTGGGAGGAGGATGAGAAGAGAGCTTGAATGAAAGCACCAGAGAATGTAGGTGGACAGAAAGAACTTCTCAACTAACTCGGGAGTAGGACACGGGGGTGTGGAGCATCTGTCTTGGAATCAGATGCCTCCCGCGTAGTGACCAAGAAATTTGCCCACCTGCAATCATCAAGCCACACCCCTGCTGGAAATCCTTCCTGGCTCCCCCACTTCCCACCAAAATGCAGCGTAAAAGCCTCAGGCTGGCACACAAGACTCCAGTCCACCTTTTCTGTCTCATTCACCTCCCACATCCCTCCAGCAGACAGTGTTCTACTGGCAGCACCAGCCCCTCCCCGAATGCCCATAACGTCCCAGTCTCCTGCCTGTGCTCACAGCACTGCTCCCACATGGAATGCTCGCACATTTTCTGCCTGCTAAAACGTCCCACCACGTAAAGAACTGGAGGAGGGGGTTCAGGCCCAGAGAACAATATGGCAGTCAGCTCCCTAAAGGCAAAGGCAGTGCCCCCTCTGTCCTAGTCACCCTCACATTTTATGGAGCCCACAAGGGAGTTGTTATTTAGCAAAAGGTACAGGTAATTCCTGGAAGCCCTGCCAGCCCTGGAACCAGAGAAATCAGTTGTAACGTGATAAACCAGGAACACTTTAATCCCAGCTTTGTTTTAGCAGAGAGACTGTTGCCTCCAGGAGGGCCAGCTCCAGCCTGCTGGATATCAACAAGAAGCAGAGCAGCAAAACCCTGTGTTCTCTGCCCCTGGCCCACCTCTGTGCCAGGGAGGCACAGCAATGGAGCCGGCCTTCTCCGGGCCAAACTTTAAACTTAGCCCTGCAAGGAGTCAGCAGGAGACACTGGACTCTGACTTGTCCAGCTCACTGTTTTGAGTCAGCAGAACTGGGTGTCCCAACAAGGGCTCAGCAGGCCATGAGCTCAGCAAAGCCCCAAAGTCTCCACGGGAAAGAGGGCCCAGTATCGTGGCTCCCCTGAGGCCTCCTCCCATGCACTCGAGGAACACTAAGTGACCACTTCAACCCCGAGACACTGGGATTTGATGCCTCTGAGAGTGAGATCAGGAACCACTTCCCCCCATTCTCATTCTCCGCCAGACCTATCTTGAGCGAGCAGCTGGGTGACTATTTTATCAGCCTCTACAGGTTGTAGGAGTATTTACTTTTTTAGAAAACCCCTCTTGCCTCTGCCTTCCGAATTTCACCCAGGTTAGATCTCGGTTCCTACAGGGGCATCTCTTACGCCCACCCCAGCCACCCTGGCTGTGGGGAGGCAGAAATCACTCCTCGCTGTGTGGTCACTTTACATGAAGCTATGAACTCAAGCCAAAATCCCGGCCAGGGAGCCAGCCACCAAAGTGAAGAAAGTCCCAGGGGCACCTTACCGGGGCCCCAAAGGCCCAACCCTCTGACTCTCTACCCTGGTGCCTGTCCTCAGAAAGAGAAGAAGGGGCCTAAAGGAAGGAATTCTGCCCCACCCTCCTCCATACCCCGACTCATGTCACACTCAAGACTGGCGAAGACACAAAAGGCATCAGACAGAGAGAGAGAACGCTTGGGGAACAAACCCAACTCTCCCGAGGTCCTCCCTCCCTCCCCTCCCTCCACCCCGTCCCACCCCTCCTCCGTTTTGCTTTCCTCAAAGCACTTATTCACTATCTGAAGCTTTCCTGTTTATTTTATTCACTTGCTTTCCTCCCTCCAACAGATCTTGGTCCCACGAGGGTAGGGCAGGCGCGAACGGGCAATGCCCTGCAGCTCGGGCCGCTCACAAGGGGCGAATTCAACTCAACAAGTGAACCGTATTCAAGGCCTTGCTTGGCGCCGGGCACTGCCGGGGGAGGGGGAGGGGCGCTCTCCCGTTTTAGCCCAGCCTGGCTGAATGCGGGGCTAGCCAGGGGGTTGAAGCCCGGCGGGAGGACCCGGCTGGGGACAGCTACCGTCCTTCCCTTCCTCTGCCGTCCGAGCCCCCCGCGGCCCGCGCTCACCCGCTGCAGCTCCAGCTCGATCTCGCCGGCCTTGAGCACGATGGGTCCCCGCACCGCGTACTCCACCGCCTTCACCTGCGGGTTCATGGACTCGAGCGTGAGGATGCGCTCGCGCCGGCCGCGCTCGGGCCGCACCTTGAGCACGGCCGGGGCCTCGGCGGCCGCGCTGCTCCGGCTGCGGCCCCAGGGGCCCGGGGTTCGGGGGCTGCAGCCCCGCCGGACCAGCGCCGCCGCCCTCTGCATCGCGGCTGCGGAGCGAAGCCTTGGCACAAAGAGAAAAAGAACAGACGCGTCGCTCACAGTCGGGGCGGGCACCCGTCCCCGCCACCAGCCCGGCCGCGGGCTCTCTCAGCGAGCGGTGCCAGCCTGGCTCCGGCGCTGGGCGCGCATCCCCGGGACCGGGACCCTCCAGCGCCCGCGCCGCACCCGGCGCCGCACGACCGGGCTTTGAACGGCTGCGCTCCAGCGCGCGCCACGTGCCCGCCGGGCCGCCCCCCGCGCCCTCACCGCGCCGGCCCGGCGCCCGCAGCCGCATCCCGGCGCCCGCCCCCGCCTCGGGCCCGCCCCGCGCCTGCGCGCTGCCTGCCGGGCCTTGCAGTTCTCCCGGCCGCTCGGAGCCGCCGCGGACAGCGGGCCGGACTACGAGTCCCGCCGGGACCAGCGCCGGGCCGGGCGGAGCGGGGCGGGTCTTCGGCCCGGCGGGGGGCGGCGAGCCGGGAGGAGCGGGGCAGGGGCTGTCCCCTCCGCTGCGTCCGCGAATTCGGAGCTATTTGCAGTTTCGCCCTGGAGGTGTGTCCCGCCTCCCTCCGCCCTCACCCCCCAACACCTGCAGGGACACGGGCCTCGAGATGGTGCAGTCTTCGCCCCGAGTTTCATCATCCGGGGCCAGACGGTGCCAGCAGCCGCCAAACGGGGCCGCTAGGAAGTGGGGGTTAGGAGTCTGGGACGTGCCACCCTGACCCCTTCTGAACGTGTTTCCTTGTCAGCAAAAGGGGGACCTGTCCACAACCTGAGTCTCAGGGTTGTTGTGGGAATTAAAGGACCGTGTAGTAGGGGGTCGGACTTTTCCTGACCTCTCCATCTGAAGCCCTCCCCCACCTCCATCACTCCTGTTTTATTTCCTGCCCAGCATCTGAAATGATCTTCTGTAGACTTTTTACTGGCTCATGGCCTACCTCCTCCCGTTATCCACGCAAGCTCCAGGCGGGCGGGAGCGGCGTCTTTCCTGTTTGTGGCAGTCACAGCGCCTCTGATAGTCCCTGGCACATAGGTGCTCAGTAAATATTTGTTGAAGAATGAATGGCCAGCAGAAGGTAGCTATTATTTTTGGTGAAGGTATCTCCAGGCAAAAGACTTCCTGACTCACCCAGAGCAAGAGCAGGACAAGACTAGGAGGTGGTGGAGGACGGTGCAAAGAGTAGGAACAGAGACGCGGTCTAGTTGAGACACCAAAATCTACGGAGAGGATGGGGAGGAGTCACTTCCCTCTCTCAGCCTCAGATCCTCCATGTGCAAAATAAATTGGATCAAATGGTCTCTAAGACCCCTTTCTGTTCGTGGAAATTCCATGAGTCTAGGCGTTTGAGGCAGAAAACCAGGCCAGAGCTCCTATACCCCAACAAACACACACATTCACAGTAGTTTGTGAAAGTTGGGGGCAGGAAGCACTTAATAAACACAGCAGTGTAGGGGAGAAGGTAGCAGGAAATCTGGTTTGAATGTACACAGTTGTGCACAGCCACTTAACTGCATATCTGATTTCAAGGATATTACTTGGCCTTTGTGAAGCCTGTTTTCCCCAAGTGCACAAGGGGGTAACAGCTCCCATCTCATGGGGCCATGGAGAAGGTTCAATAAGGTGACTTTGTAAAAGCCAAAGCTTGGAGCCTGCTGCTGCGAGTCACTCTTGTTCATTCTTGTCAAGAGAATACCATATACTTAGATTAAATAAATTAATTGCCAATAAAGGGGGAAAAGGAGTGGCAGAACAACAGAAACCAAAGATATCTCTGAGTATTCCTGTTAGTGAACCGGCTTGGCCCACTGAGGGCCCTGCAAAGTTATTTGAGCTTCTCATTTACTGGTCCCACCCCCAGCACCTGTGTCTACACTAGCTCCTTCCCTGCCTCTGTCTCAATAGCCAGGTATTCAGTCTCCAGGTAAAAGATTCTCCCATAGTAAGCTCAGCTCCTCTGATAACTCCACCGCCTTCAATGTCATTATCACTTGCTCTGCCCAGTTGGGGAGACACAAAAACACGTCTCTCCACCTCCAAAACATGCCTAACCTTGACCTGCATATGATGTAAATGCAGTCCCTTGCTGTCCACCCGTGGGTCAGTACACCATGTTCTTCCTGTTGTCTCCATCGCTGATTGGTAGGGACAGGGGAACTGGGAGGGAGGGCTTAGAGAGTTGATCACAAATCCATTTGCAGAGCTGGGAAAAACACGGAGCACACAGCTCACTTACGTGGGCTTCCATGTCATCATTGTAAAAAACAAAAACAAGTAGTTAGTGTTCCTAATATGTCCTTTGCCAACCTGTCTCTCTGAAACTGTGTAAGAAAAAAGCTCCCTTGCTTTCTTGTGAACCACATTTTACAATTTGCAAAGCACTTTCTGACCCAAAAGTACAGGCAGTATTGTCACCACTTTGCGGATGAAGCTCAGAGAGGCTAAATGACTTGTTCAGGTGGCACAGCTACGTGGAGAGCAGGAACTGTAATTCCTAACCCACTGCTACAGCCCACACAGACAGGGACCAGTCTCGTGTAGCTCTCTGGGTGTGGAAATTTGAGCTGCCTGTTGCAATGCACTGAGCCTTTGAAAAGATTTTGGGTAGTAACTGTAATAAGGATGGCGGTAATAGCGTGAACTGTGCTTTGATTTTGCTCCCTATACCAGATGGGGCTGGGTAGAAGCTGGCTCCTAAATATTAAAGATAAAACCTGATACAGTTTGGTTGTTCGGCCCTCCAAATCTTATGCTGAAATTTGATCCCCAGTGTCGAATGTGGGGCTTGGTGGGAAGTGTTGGGGTCATGGGGGAGGATCTCTCATAAATGGCTTTGTTCCCTCCTCAAGCGAGTTCTTGCTTTATTAGTTGTGTCAAAGAGCCTGGTACCGCGTCCTCTGTTCTTTCTCTCACCACGTGACACGCCTGCTCCAGCTTCACCTTCCGCCCTGATTAGAAGCTCCCTGAAGCCCTCACCTAAAGCAGCAGACCCTGGCGTGATGCTTTTTGTACGGTCTGCAGAACCATGAGCCAAATAAACCTCTTTTCTTTATAAATTACCCAGTCTCAGGTATTTTCTTTATAGCAGTGCAAAATGGACTAAAACCAAACCTGACTGAAATGCTCATGAATGCCCTTCCTATAAACTGGGTGAGAGCTTGTCTACCCGCATGGCTGGGGGAGTCGTATGCTTCCAAGACGTGATATCCACCTTCATTCCTGAATTCAACAAGTTTTTCTTGGGCACCTACCATGTGCCAGGCACTGGGTTCCGTTCTGGGACTATGAGGAGTCAAACAGACCATTCCTACCTGTGTAGAACATGGTTTCTTACGGAAGGCGGACGTTAATTAGGTAATCAAACACATAAACACGTGATTACAAACTGCGATGACTGCTGGGGAGAAAAAGGATGACATTTTATGATAGAGCAGATGTCTGAGTGAAGGTTTCCCAGCTGAAGAGGCCCGCGAGCTGCCCGCAGCGCCAGCCTTGGGAGGAGGGGGTCAGCAGCACGGGCCCGCGGAGCTGCCTGAGTGCAGGCGTGCGCGGCGAAGGCGCATGCGCTCGGGACGGGTACGGCCAGGCGTGGGAATCCGGCCATGCACATCGTTCCAGGGCTTCCCAGCAAGTTGCTTGAGGTTTCTTGGCCTACAACAGTTTTTTTCTCTTTGCCCAGTCCTGCTTTCTCCTACTCCGCTTGTAGAAGGTAATCCCTAAACCCAAATTGCACCTCGCACCCCACCTACATGTCGGTGGTGAGACAGACAGCTTTCCAGGCCAGCGGCTGCTGAAGACCTAGAGATCTGAGAAATTCCAAGAAAGCCAGAGTGATTGCAAGGCAAACAGTGAAGGACGACAGGAATGGAGGACACGGGTCAGAGAGGTGAGCAGTGTCAGGGCAGGCAGGCCGGGGCTTGTAGGTAAGAATTTTGGTCTTCATCCTAAGAATGATTAGAAGCCTCTGGGAGGCTTAAAGTAGGGGAGTGACACGGTCGGGTTTATGTTTTAAATTCTGCTGCATGGAGGCTGGATTGGAGGAGGGCAATGGAGGATGCAGGAGGATAAATGTGGCACCAGCAAGGTCCGATGTTGGCCTACATGAGAGGGTGGGGGATGGGACGTGGACAGGCTCTTCCGCATCCCCAGCACCTAGCATAAGACCTGGCGCACAGGTTCTTAGTAAATTGTTGTTGAACGAATGAGGAAGTAGATTCTACTAGGTCCATGCTCTCCAGGTATTTGCAGTCCAGCAGATGGGTGGAGTGTAGTAAGTGTGGTAAAGGCAGCCCCAAGAGTGCAGACCAGCCAGTCCTCGGAGGCAGTGGGGGCCGTTCATGAGTAACCACAGAGCAGAACAGAAAGTGAGAGTCTTCTGAGAGGAGCAGATGGGCGCTGCAGAGCTGCCATGGGGGGCGGGCAACCACCCAGAACACCAGATCATGCTTGGGCTGGGTGCTCGGGTGACTCTTTCAGAGGTAACTCTTAGTCCCTTGCTCCCAAGGACACTTGGGAAGCCCAGTAGAAGTTAGTGGGCTCTCAATAATCACATGCCTTAGCTCATGGTCTAGGGCACTGATTCGAAAGTGTCCAAGGATCGCCTGAGTGTTTACTTAAAATACAGATTCCAGAGCCTTGCCCACGACTTTCTGGTTCTGAAATTCTGGGGGTGGTTTGGCCGGGAATTTTCCTTTAATTAGGGTCCTGATGTGCACTAAAGTTTGAGAAACACAGGCAGGACCGGGCTGGGCTTGTCTCGGTGGGAAGAATCCAGATCAGGGATGTCTGAATTCTGGTTCCAAATTTGTCATTAATCCCACGTGTGTGACCTTGAGCCAAGGCCCTCCCCTTTTCAGCAGTTGCTTCCTTGTCTGCAGAACAGCCTGGATTCCACCAAATTTCCTAGTTACCTGCTCTTCTGAGACTCTAGAAGACATTACAGCCCCCCTTTTCCAAACCGATGATTCTCCTAGTCACCGTGGCAGGCTGTACTCATTGAGCCATGGTTTCCTCACCTGTCAGTGACAGTGACAACAGTACCTGCCTCCAAAGGTTGCTGAGAGGATTAGAGATGGTATTTTTAAATTTTATTTTTCTTATGGATATTGGGTAAATTAGAAAGTCTGAAAGCATCAACAGTTATTTTAGGAAAAATTCGAACTGTGTTTTTCCTTTGCTTTCACACCACCGTAAGAATCAACACAAAAGACTTCTGCGACCAAATGCGGGGTTTTTTTCCCCTACCAACAAGCAGCAG